ATTTTAATTTAATTTTTAAAAACATTTAAAAAATAAAGTATAAGCAAAGTTAATATCAATCCATAAAGTTGTTTACTAATTGTGTGCATTCTCTCAGTAAAGTCAGTAAAATACCATTTTCGACTTGAATTTTGAAATATACTTCTGGTAAGTATTTGTGCACTGTCAATTTTTCTGTCCACACACACACATGTATCGGCTAAATAGTCTTATTTATTAAGGACTATATTGCATAATTGCCCTTTTCGTAATGATTTCAATTTTTTTAAGCAGTTGCTATTTGTATTTTGATAAAATATGTTCATAGTTGTCTGATATCAAATTTTTATACAAATTTTTGGACTCATAGAGCTTGTCAAAAGCAAGCAGGCATAAAGAGGCACAGCTAAACATAATCAACATTTTGTATTAATTTATAGTTTATATGCAATCTTTGATGCCGAATAACGAATCTATGAGTCTAGTGCATTTTAGAAATTGTGAACGTGCTTGTATATTTGAAAATCACTTTCATTTCCAAACTCGAACTGTGCAAATTTATTGCAAACGAATGCGCGTAGGTTCAGCTTTATATTTTAATTTTTGTAATTGCAGGAATTTCAAGAAATAATTGACAATCGAACGAAGATCGCTAAATTAGTTCAGATTATCAAACTAATTAAGAAAATTAATAAGCTCTCTATGAACAAATCTTAGGTAATCAAAATAGACTGGCGAGTCTCCAGTCGTCTTTGTCTATCTAATTTAAATTACTTTTAGAAATTTTTATAGCTATATATTTGCTATAAATTGATTAGTGATTCAAATTATTTAGGTTATTCTAGACTATATCCATATTTTTTATAGACTATATATTATATATTTAAGATATTCAAATCCTATAAGAAACTTTTTCGGGTGCTAATTGTTTGGTTAGATAATAAAACTGTCGATTTAACTCATTATATGTTACAGTAGATAGCCGAGCAGTTGTACAGATACCTTTTTGCGTACATGTATAGAAACTTTTTAAAAAGTAATGTATTTGAACTCATAAAAATTCATGTTTAGAATTAGTATTTAAAATTTTTTAAAGATATAATGAGTTAAAATTTTGTTCATAACAGTTGAGAGTTGTCGTCGCAATGCTTATTTGCTTCTGATTTTCAATTGAGCTTAATGTATTTAACTGTTTATATAAATAGATGCGATAAGTGTTAATAATTCGTTAACATGTGCAGCTGGTGTTAAATACTTGTTACAGTTAATTGATTTAAATAATAAACCTTGATGGCAATCATTTTAAATAAATAGTTATTTTTTATTAGCAATAATTTATGTGTTAATTAAAAGTAAATAAATATTTCTCCACATAAAAGCATAGAATTGCGTAAGTACGTATAATACATATGGGCGACACATATGTGCATACATATAAATAAGTCAAGTATAAAAGTGATAACTAATTGAAGACTTGAAACAAAAGTTGCATGCCCTTTGCGGCAGAATTCAGATGTTTTCCATTTAATTGAAGATATATACACCAACTTCGTTTTGTATTCTGTCTCTATGCTTTTGTTGAACGTTTTATGTTTGAAACGAATAATAAATGAAAAGAAGAACAGATTAACTTGACTCAGAATCTTACGATAAACTATTTACTATCTGTGATCTGTCTGTGATGTTTTCTGGGTGTTTAACACTCTGAATGATGAAACAGGCAAGAATATTATAGCCGAGCAATGCCAGCTATTAGGTACCCTATACCACTTCACCTAACGCAATTATTCACTCGTTTTGGTAATAATATTCCAAAAGTTACAACGTATAATTCCGTATATTGGAGGAATCCTTATACTCGGTGGTGTATATGCGTGGTCCAATTTCGGTAAGATTGATTTCTATCAATCAATTTAGTGTTATGAACTAGTTTCAATACGAAACGAAGGCTTCAAAAAATTGTCCTAGGCGAACCAAGCGTTCATTTGTAATTAGAATATCCAAATACTATTACAGAGCAACTTTTTGTTAGAAATTTTCACAGTTGTAGTTTTTTTCCCTATAAAAAGTTTTCAAAATAGACCGGTATATGGGGTGTAGTGGAAAAAGTAAAACGATCCACATCATTTTCAATTGCGTTCGTTCTCACGAACTGTAAGTTGCATACAAATTTCATTAACCGACGTTAGGACAGCAGGCTTAGGTCGATTCAGAAATAGATCGGCAGGTCTATTTTAATCCTTACTGTTTGTTACATTTGTCTGCACAAACTTAATACACCCTGTACCACAAGTGGTGTAGAGCATAACTAATCAGACTCACCATCTGGGGCATAAGAAAAAACAAATGTGTGAAAAGTCCTATAAAAATTAATTTGGACATAAATTTACCTTAAAACAAGTAAGCGCATTGTCCAAATTTTGTAGAGTTCATTTTGGTATGAAATTACTATTACGAGTCAATTTTCATCATCATATATTAAAACTTAAACTCATCTGCTCTATAAAGGATCAATTTTCGTGAAAATCGTTTTTAGGGTAGGATACAAAAAAATAGGCCGAATTGGTCCAAATTTGCTACAGTTAATTTTTTATGTTAAATAACTATTGTGATATAATTTTCACCATGAAGCATTGCAAATTATACCTTTCTGTCGCATGAACTTCAGTTTTCATTATATGAGAGGGGGTTTAAAAATTGCCTCAGCCGATCGAAAGTATTCAAAACAATTTAGAATGCCAATATACTACTGCCCAACCACTTTTGCCCTGAAATTCTGAAAATTACAATATTTTTCCATATAAGGAGTTTTCGCAATAGAACGTCATATGGGAAGTTGCCGAAAAAGTAGGCCGATGCGAACTATTTTCCCTGCGCCCGTCCTTGGCCCAAAATATATCAGTGTACCACATTTCATCCAAATATCTTAGAAATAGCGCCCTGTAGGCTGAACACAAATTTACATGAACAAACATTGAACGGATAGCCATGCTTAGATTGATTCAGAAAATGATTCTATATCGATCAGCATAATGAAAGGTCGGCTATCTTAAGTCCTGCAGGATGTTGCCTATATCCGCACAAAGTTGAGATATTTTTGTAGAACAAGTAATGTAAGGTATAAAAGCAAAATTGTATTTCTGAAAGCACGTTTTACATACAAATAAATAATAGCATATTTAGAATATTTAACCTGTTCTGTAGTGGTTGAAAGCCAAGGTGAAAATTTTTAACTTTTTTAATTTTTTTTTACGCGTCGATTAGACAATTAAGAAACTTTTCATTCAGCTTTCAGATGGCACTGGAAAATGTTTTTGCCAAATCAGCAGATGTATGGAGAACGATCACAGTTTTTTGCCGTTTGTGAAGCCTTAATGTGGCTTGGTGATTTTTAATTAATCTAGGACCATTAACTAAGAAGATATAAATGCGCAATTTCACATTTCTAACCCTGACCTTTCACGACTGTAAGCAGTCTAACAAGAGACTTATGCCTATCAAGATACTATGTATGGATGGCGTCTCTGTGGCATTAAAATTTTGCTGCTACATTTTCTGCAATAGTGAACATAATTGCATAAGTGCTTTCCTATAACGATCTTAAAAACAAGAGCAAGACTTTTTTTAAATTTCATAGAAAAATTTAAATTGATTTTTACATATGTTGATTAAATCGGAATAAAAAGAAACAAGAAAAAATAATTATATTCAGTTTAAGTCCAATCTATTAATACCGACATACAATTGTGGCGAAGATTGATTCACCCGATATATTGATCGCATGTTGTATTCGTTTTAAATCAAGTTTACATAATCCGTTTTATTTATCTGTAAATAGTTAATCACTGGACTTGAGCAATTTCTTGAATTGGCTTAATTGTCCTTTGGAGGTTTACATGTAAAATTCTAATAAGAAATAAATGAAAATTCAAATTTGAACTCTTAATGAAAAACGCTATAACTCGAGAGTTGCGCTTCGCAAGAGGGACGACACAATAACAACCTATGAGGCAAGTTGATCATTCTAAATAAAATGCTGGGATAATCGTTACGATTTCAATAAAAGACCTAACCACAGACGGACGAACTGATAAACAGCCATAAATAAATCGTACTCGCTATTTACACTGATCAATTATATAAATAGTACCTGAGGTTCTGATTGTATATGTGTATGTGTTGCGAATATCTCTGTTCTTGTGGTGTGGTTATAATGAGAAAATTTATTATAATTGAGGATGATTTCTTGACTGGTTAGCTGTTGTGACCTCTTTGAAAAATTTGCGCCTAAATTTTGTCAGAAAAACCAAGCATAAGCATGAATATTACCATTTCTCCATGACGCGTAAACTCGTCAACGACAGCTAACTGATTAAGCCCTTATCAAGTGTTCAATGTATTCGTTAAGTACAACAGTTTTTGGATAATGAAAACATTTGCGAGATTTCCGATATTTGCTGGCAATTGTGAAAATTTAGATTTATTTCATAGTGAAGCTCGTAGTCAGAAAGGTTTATCCAAATGACATCTGAATTTTTGGCCGGACTCGGCAGCTATGATTTAAAACGACTTTGGGCGCATATTTCCCCATAATTATATATGTAAATTTAGAAGACATTAAAACATTAGTGCTTAAGCCATTACTATTAGTTTTTGTTCATTATCTGTATCTATAACGTCTTTATTCCCCATTCGCTTTTTTTTTATCTTAAAATAGAATACGAAAACTGTTCATGTTAAGTTTTTCAAAGTATTTGCAACGCATAGAAATAAGCAACGGAGTGCCTGCGAAGACGTTTGGAAAAGTTTGAACCATTATTTTCTGTCTGTCTGTACTTTTAAAGCCCGATTAACCCGAGCTTAGCTCCTTTTATTTTATATGTGCGGGGATAAATTTAAAAAAATCTATCTAGTTAATCTTGTTAATAATAGGTTTAAGTCTTCATTAAAAATTTATGGCAACGATATTACATCCACTTGGGCCTTTTTTTTATGCAATATTTGTGTGATTGTAGAGAGAATAGTACATGTTTATGCTTTCATAACATGTTTCGTTTATCGTGCTTTGTGCGCACGTGAAGCGCAATTTCAAGTGACCAAACATTAGAGAATATATTATATCCTTTGATTTCGTTCAGGGTAAGTTTCTTTTATTACATTTTACGGCAATGTGAAAAATTCAAACAATTCAAAATAAAAATATGGATGATCACTCCTTCTTAATTGAAATGTTCGTCAAAGCGTTAAAAATTGCGCAATATTAAATTGATGGAAAATGGAAAACTTGACATTACTTGCGGTGGTTTGAGCTATTCCTTGAAATAACGCAAAATGCATGTTAGACATTTTATTGTAAATCATTTTTCATTGTTCGCGGATTTTGCCTAAGTTTCATTAATAGCAAAAATTAACCCGTGATCGTGAAGACGTGATAATTTTTAAATTGGCTGAATGATACTTAAATACTAATTAAAAGATAAATATGTACGAGTATACAGCAATTAATGTTCTTTTGTTGAAAGAATCTCGTTGTTTAGATTTGCGCGAAATACATGAATAAATTAAATTAAATCAAAATTCGCCCTTCTGCCGCAAAATTTTAGAAATTATTTGACTCGTTTATGTGTTGTCGTTCTGTTGTGAATGGCTTTGATAACAAAATTTTCATGTCTTTTGTATTCCTTTTTCCTTTTTCAAATATTGAAATTTACATTTGGTTTTTTTCAAAATTGTAACTTTTGTTATTAACGTTTGTTGTCGTTCTTCCTCTTTACTAAAATGTGCTAATATTTAACCACCAAATTTTCTGTCTGCAAAATTCCGTATGCTAGGGAAAATTGTGAAAAAAATTGCAAAAACTTAAATTGAACTGCATCTCGAAACTTTATTGCCTCGGACGTACTCTTCTACTATTGCATTGGCTTAGTCATGGCGGTTTTTGAACAGCACAGTCATGTGAGTGTCTGGTGGTTTCCTCGAGAATTTTGCCAATCACGCTTTGGTGAATACAGGGAAAGCGGCACCAACTCTTGTACTCTCATTTCGCTAATTTTAGCAGATAAAATCGCCAAAGAGCAAATATTCTCGCAGAAAGCTAAAACATTGCCACAACGGGCCGTGGAGGTATTTGGCGATGCAATGAATGAAGGCAATACCGTGTACTCACGTGTATTTGAATCCAAAGACGACAATGGTAGAAGAAGGCGGGCTCCCAATCTTAATATTCCAGAGGCAATAGCTGCTTTGGCTAACAGCGATTTTATAGAGTTTCAACTGCAGGAATGGTTCTACACTCATCTGACAGCGAGTCCTACAAAAGAAACATACCATCGGTCAGTGGCATCGCGCATCGCTCAGGTTTTAAAATTGGGTGTGCAACTGTTCCGGCAACCAAGCAGTAATACCCGAGCGAAAAATTTATTTGCTGCCCTTATAGCTGACAGTCGCACCACAATTTTCATATTCGAATTCCCAATTAATATTATATCGTTTTTTGATTCACATCAGCATGGACGCCAGTCTGGTGCTGTTGTAGCGCAATGCTCTATTGATCATTTGGAGGATTTGTGCAGTTGGTTCGTCAGAATGCTGGATGATGTATACAAAAGTCGACCCTCAGTATACGAAATCTCATTCTTAACCACCAGTGCAGATGCTCCCAATGTAATCCCTGCCGATCAGATACATTAAAACTTATATTGGGGATAATGGACCAAGATTGTTTGTTAAAGAGATAGCAGTTCAAGAGAAGCGGAAACAAAAAAACGAATCAGTCATACTTTTAGGTTTAAATATTCTTTTTTTATATTATAGAACATGTTCAATCAGTTACTACAAGTATAGCAGTAAAAAACAAAAATACATTAAATAAAAAAAAATAAATAAATAAAAAAAACAAAGAAAACACATAAAAATAAAATCCATAAAACGGCAACAACCAAAACAAAGTGTTTTACTTTCATCGTTACATAATACGAATACGTTTATATAAACGGACAGGAAGCTTAAGTATAATATGTGTATATTGGCAAGGTATCATATCTATGTAAAAAAACAGGCGAGTTGCGGTTCTTGATGTTACCTGCCCGCGACGTTTACGCGTACATAATAAATAAGCGATAATTAAAAACTCATACGTTTAGTGTTCCACTGAATGAGTGGAACTTATTTAATATATGTAAGTTACTGAAACCACTGTGTGCAGTTGTGATTCGAAAAACGATTCTATACATGTTTCATACACACGCACACATTTACGTACTAATAGTTAATCAAAACAAGCATTAAAATTTACTTGGATAGAATGAGGTAAACAAGCAGAGCTTCTATTGTACACTCTCTCACGACATAACTTAGAAACGTATTTTGTCTTCAACTTTATTTTCATTTTAATGCGCAACATTTATATTTCTATATATATATATATGTCTGTATATTGCTTAGTATATATATATATATATATTTATATCATACATGCATAGCTTATAATCTTCTTTTAATTGCATAGTTCGGTTTTGTTAGTTAATAATCTCTGTTATGTCATTCATATATTTGTTTATGTGGCAGCCGGAGACAATATGATAATATATATATATGAATATGTGCGTGCGTGTAATAATGCAATAAACGTTGTATATATAAGGCAATTTAGGATTTTTCACGTTTTTCACTGGACACGTGTCCCTGGGGTGACCCACTTGAAAAAAATAACTACTTGTTTGATTCACAAGCAATCATCTCGAAAAGTGATGCAACAAAAATTGAAATTTATTTGTAAGTACGTCTGTTCTTCTTATTGCGTAAAGGTTCGTTAAAAATTAATATTGCGACTAGAACGAAAAAAGGCACCAAAATATAAAAAGTAGAGATTCGATATATATTTTGTAGCAGGTAATGCGGACAGCTTTAAGCAAAGGTTTGGTAATATTAGTGATTTTTTATATATTTTTCTACACAGCGTGGAAAAACTCAAAAATACGTCTGCCAACCTAAGAAACTCTATGCCCTCTAATCGCAATTAATCAGTGTGAGATTCTAATTCAATTTAGTCCATGATCGTTTGTCCGCTCCTCTGCTATTTAAATTATCGCATTTAAAAAACTCATTTATTCGTTAGCTGATTTCGCTAAGACTCTTAGCATTGAGTACATCAATGAAGTAACTACACCCTTCAAAGGAGCTAAAATAAATCGTTTTAATTTAATTTATTGAGCTTGTTCATGGAGCGTATAACCTTTGTCAAAAAAAAAAAAAAAAAATTGATAAATAAGTCACTTTACGTATGATACACCCAGGCTCAAGCAGCTCTGCTTCAATAAACTTTCTTCAAGGCTACCACATGTTTTTAAGCATCTCTAATCCAAAACTGATTAAAGCTCAGACAGTGGAGACTCTGCTGGGTCAAAAGGAGTCTCTGGGATGCCATCGCAATACAGTTTTTTATTCGTCGATCAAACTTCAAATATAAAAAAGACAAAGAAACCATCTGAGTAACCGAGTAGGCAGAGGATCCCGATCAACAACTCAACTCAACTGGTCTTTGGTTCAAAACTCAATTGCAGAGTTTTCAATAAAGCCGGTAGCGTCAGATATTAGTGGTTTAACACTTTAGTCTTTGAATTTATATCTCTGGGCAAATTAACAATAATAATAATAATAATAATAATTAAAAAAATTGACAAAAATTTCCAAATTTTCAAAAGTTTTTTAAGAGTTTTCTCTCGAATTACTGTTAACATTTATATTCTTTTTTAAACCAGAAGATTTTGGAACATATACGCAGGTTGCAAACTTGAATAGAAAAAAGGTATCCCCATTTATTTATTTTTTATCTATGATATAAACATGCCATTAATCTGATCGTTATCATATTCGTAAAGCATAGGCATGGGCTATGGATATTTCCCCTATGTTAATTCCTTGTGTGCAATGTTAAGTGTTCTGGTTTATATTTCAAGAATCGACCACGTGATTTTCTTCTTTTTGTCGTTTTTGTACATATCTTAACCTTCGTAGCTGTCTAAAGAGAGACCACACGGACTACGGCCTTGATCGGAATGCCGTAATTCTTTGTAAAAGGGTCTAGTTGGAAAAACTATCGCCTGAAGTCCACTTTTGCCAATTGCGATCATATCAGAAAATTGAGGGGAAATCTTCCTCACTGCTGTCCTTGTTAATTGGTTCTATTCAATGTTCAGGTACGGAGACGTTCTAAGTTATTGATAGGAAACATACTTTGAAATATTTTACCCGCTCTTTGAGGTTTTTTACAATTTTTATCTACTATGTGTATAAATCGAAAAAAAAATTATATTATTATATATTTATATATAAATAATCGAATACGATTCTGCCGATTCTGAAGTAAACTTTAATCGACAGTGCGTATATTCGTTTACCTATGTAATAAATATACAATAATATACATATAAAATATATAAATGATAAAATAATTAAGGAAATAAGTAATATACATATATTTTCTTACATGGTCTCTTATGCACAGCCCACGAACACTATAGTCTGCGCTTTCGATGCTGGGCTCGAAAATTATTTCAAATCAAATTAGTTTTTTCTTATTCTTAGTGTACTCTGATAGGCTTTTGTTTTTTTCACATGTCATCGCCGCCGATATAGTCGATCTTTAATTCAAAGAAAGAAAGGTCTATCGTTGTGGCATTCGAGAATAAAAAACTATTTCTTCTGTCTGGAGAATTATAAGATCCTTGAATCATAATTGCTTGCATATCTTCCTTGTAAAATAAAAGGGATGCAAAAAATCAATACAAATGCATTCAATTTCATTCACAAATATGAATTTGTTGTTTAATAGATAGGATTTTTATTTAAAAAAAAAAGAATAATAAATAAATGAATTCTTTACATTAAACCCGCTTTAAAGTTTAAGATAAAAGAAATGCTACCTTTACTGCTGGATTGAATAATAAAATGAATGAAAAGTTGTCCATTGGTAATCATCATGCGAATATTGTTTAATAAAAAATGTATGCAGATACTTTTGAAAAATGCGACAATTGGGAAATGCTTTTATTTTTATTCTCCTTTCCAGTGCTCGAAAAATTGCTACTCATAGGCGTCGCGCTGATCGGCCCCGGCCTAAGGGGCCATGACGCGTTGGCCCTTTCGTTTGCTACTATTGCTCTCGGTGGTAGTAATACTGGTTCCGGGTGTCATATCAGTGCGCGATAGTCAAAATCGTACTATAATTACGGTCGGCTATTTAACCGCCATAACCGGTGAGCTCAAAGACAAACAGGGCTTGGCTATATCAGGAGCTCTTACCATGGCTTTAGATGAGGTTTGTGTATCTAATATATACAACAAAGCGAAAATAATTAAAAAGGTTTGTTTTCCAGATTAATAACGACACAAATTTATTACCGGGCGTTGTATTAGAGTTACGGTGGAATGATACCAAGGGTGACACGGTATTAGCAACCAAGGCTATAACGCAAATGATTTGTGATGGTGTAGCAGTTATATTCGGTCCAGAGGGTCCTTGTTATGTTGAAGCGATAGTCACACAAAGTCGTAACATTCCCATGATTTCCTATGTAAGATTATTTATTTAGTACGTTTAAATTAATAGTAGCTTTGCTTAGGTAATATAAGGTGAGATATGATAAGGTGGAAACGATTATCTACAGGCAAATGAACATGGCTTTACTGTCATGTTTTCCTTCGATTTATTCAGTATAATCGATTTTTATGTTTATGATATACAAACAGTGGGAAGCGACAATTTAACTCAGTTCGATAACAATAAGTAATTTTCCCTATAAATATGAACATAATTGAAATCCCTCATATGCCGAAATTATCTTCAACCATTAATGGAGGAATTCCATCCTCTAAGCGATACGATGTGTTTCCTATCCCTAAGTTAAAGACTTTGGACGTATATCAGCGTTACTTACCGCCAGATGTAAATTGTTTTTCCTATATAACATATTGGTCAATAACTTCCGGGACTGATACACAAATGTCATTTCTCAAAAAAAATTAGTTTTAGAAAATGCAAATCCTCGAATCCTGTGCCAAAATTGCGATGAATTCGATGTTATTCCGATGATGTTATTTATGAGTTACAGAAGGACTATCGTGACGCCACTTTTGTCGGTTTCAATACAATGGAAAAATTCGAATTTCGTTCGATCGAGCGTTGATATTCGGTGGGAAAGTATATCATTTAAACATAGCATTAGCTTGAAAAGTGTTACAGACACTCTACTACTTTGAAAACAACATTTGACCGGTGCTTTATCTGAAGGAATATTGAAGGAAATGTGTCCAAAAGAGATCAGAAAACAACAAACAGTCAACAAAGTTTTTAAAATTAATCTCCCTAATCGAAACAAATGACAAACGAATGCTGACAAGATATTGAAAGGCTGTTTCACTATTCTGTATGAAAACTTGGTCATAGGAAAACGGTTCTTCAAATGTGAACTGCATTTACACAAATTGCAAAAAATGCACCCTCAATAATCGATGACTACAATTGGAAAATTGCATGAGTTGAAATTTGAATCGCGGTATTCTCGAGATGTGGATCCTACCGGCTATTATCAGTTTGAAAATCCCAAAAGAACATTTCAAGAAAATATATTTGGATAAAATGATGAGATCGTTGCAGAAGCTGAAATTTTTCGAGAACCTTGACGCATTGCTTTGTAAAAAAATGCGTCACAACGTTGGAGAAACGTTAGAATGATCATGTTACTCTTAAAGAATATCATATTGATGATGAAAGACGAATATCGTAAAAAAAACCAATGTGTTTTTACTTAATCCCGTGGATTATTGACTGTATACAAATAGCAGAAAAGTTTCGAATTAATCGGAAGCAATCTTATGAAAATAATAAAATATAAGATATATTCAAATGCAAGTATGCTTTCGCGCAACAATGGTATAACGAAATGTACATGGCAGCACAGACACACAACATATGGAACATAGCGCAATGTTCCGGAAAGAGAAAAAGTGGTGAAAGGGACGTCGTACTTTTGATAATTATAACATTTTAACTTTTTTTATGAAGTTTTACTTGGCTAAGTCAAGTTTTTAGTTCACCAGTCACGCGGTCGACACATTTAGGAAGCTTAACACACTTTTGCTAAGTACTTAGGTAATTACTTAATACATGGTTAACTAGTACGCATTCAATTTTTTTTTTTTTTTATTTGACTAGCCACACAGGGATGTCTAATATATGTGCAGGCACGATAGGGGTCAGGAGAATTATAGGAAGGGAAGGATGGAAGGAGGGGATAGCATTTGTGTACGTTCGAATTTGAATTAAAAACACTAGCAAATTTTTACATTTTCACTATAGAGTATGGGTATCCAAAATTCGACTTAATCTACGATATAGTTTTCTCACTTCTTTATATTTTGTCACTTTCTATTTACTCTGTTGTTCATTGTTTACGTTGGTTTTATAGAAATGTTCTGAGAATAGGGCTTCTCCTATACGTACATTTGCGCGCACTGAGCCCCCTGATACACAGGTAAGTTCAAAGTTATATATAAGTTGTCATGTTTGTGTTGTGATGAATTTTTTATCCTTTTGTAAAATCCTATAAATAGGTTATTAAATCTGTAATATCATTGTTACGCTATTACGGATGGAAAAAGTTTTCTATTCTTCATGATGAGGTCTGGACAACGGTGGCCGACTTGTTGAAACAGGAGGCAATTAAATTCAATATGACAATAAATCATAAGGAGTCGTTTATCGATAATATGCCGAAATGCTGTGAACTAATGCTTCCTTGTTGTCGTACAGGATTTTGGTACCAGGTGAAGTATATTTTTCCTTATATCGTAAAGGTTCTTCGACTATCAATAAATATTCATTTGTTTTTTTTTTTAAAGGTGGTGCAAAATACCATGAATGGAACTCGTATCTATGTATTTTTGGGCACGGCTAGTGCTTTAGTTGATTTTATGGCTTCAATGGATACAGCGAACCTCTTTGCCAAGGGTGAATATATGGTTATATTTGTGGATATGATGACTTACACACCAAAGTATGTGAATTTAAACTTATTTAATCGCAGAAGTTGTATCAACTTTAGTGCCCTAATGCCTTTATTTTAGAGAAGCCGAAAAGTATTTGCGTAAACCCGATCAGGTAGAACATATGAAAACGTGCGATGAATCTGAAAACTTCTCTCAGCGTGCTCGCAGCTTATTAGTAGTAGCCTCCACTCCACCCACCGATAGCTATGAAAATTTTACAGCGAAAGTACGCCAATATAATTTGCAAGATCCCTTCAATTTCGTATTACCATCACTATTCCACAGTAATAATTTTATCAAGGTAAGGCATTGTTACGTGCTCGGTTTTCTACAACTTATGTCGTTTGGCAAAAACAAAACCCGAGGCATACAAACATACGTAGACCTACGTACTTATACTTGTACAAACGCCCTTTCTTGTTAGAAGTTGAATGATCTAAATGAGCATGCAATACACACAATAATACAGACGTACAAAAATTAATTACAGATATAAAAATTTATGAACAACATTTTAGGTGCTTATAACGCTTAGTTCGATAAATTCCCGGAAAATAGCAAACAGAAAGTTGAGCGGTCAATTTTGGTGATTTACGCTGTGCCTTAAAGCAGACCTATGTCTTCCGTTTTAATATTTACGTTTTACGGGAAGATAGTATATGCGTATACGCCTAGTTATATATGGATATATTGATAATAGATAAATATATTGATTCATAGAGAAGAAAAAAGATTGATTGCATATTATAATTTTTTTCTACAGTTCGTTTCAATCTACGCCGCATACCTTTATGATTCTGTTAGACTTTACGCTTGGGCTTTGGATAAGTTGCTGCGCGAAAAGAAAAGCAAATTGAATGATAATGAGGTGCATGATGTAGCTAGCGACGGCATAGAAATTGTCGAAACTATTATCAGTAATCGTACATATAAAAGTAAGTTTTCCAATGTTTAATAGAAATGCGGAGGAAAGAATTCCTAAAGTAAGAATGAGGATATTGCAGGTGTTACTGGTGCTACAATCAATATTGACAGTAATGGTGATTCAGAGGGTAATTTTTCGGTGTTGGCGTACAAACCATTCAAATACTCTTATCGCGAAAACTTATCATGTAATTTTCATATGGTACCTGTGGCTCATTTTCAGCAAGGACGTGATATTCCAGTGAGTGAGTCGTCACTTTTAGTTATACTTTTCTTTTATTTATGTATTTCTAGTGGCCTTTTTTTTATTATTTTATATTCTCACTTACAAGTATATTGATTTAGGTTCTGATTTATTGCAATGATTTTAGGAATACAAACTCATTAATGGTTCGATACGGGTCGATTGGCCATCGGGCGGTGATCGTCCATTCGACGAGCCCATGTGTGGCTTTGCTAATGAATTATGTAAAAAAGATGATCGTCACATAACGTCGTTAGTAGCAGCCGGCATATTAGGTCTTCTGTTATTTTGTGCTGGAGTTGTTACCATGAGCATATATCGGAAGTGGAAGATTGAACTTGAAATCGAGGGTCTTCTTTGGAAAATTGATATAAACGAAATTAAAGGTTACTCGGGCAACGATATTGTCTCGTCGCCTAGCAAGGTACAATTCAATTCCATTTATTAACGCGTTTGTTTACATATTCTATTTGTGTAACAAAGCAGAGTAAATTATATTTATGATTGAAAGTATAAGAAACACATTTTTATTCATTTATTTTTTCTTCATGTTATTCATTCCATTTATAAACTTAATTTTCTTTCTCTCAATTTCACAGTTGAGCTTGATTAGTGCCCAATCATTTGGTTCTCGTTGCTCAAATCAAGTATTTACATCTACAGCCCGTTTACGTGGAGCTGTTGTACGTATTAAAGAATTAAGATTTCTTCGAAAGAAGGACATGTCGCGAGAGATTATGAAGGAGATGCGGTTGTTGAGGGAATTGCGTCATGACAACGTAAATAGTTTTATTGGAGCTTGCGTAGAGCCGACGCGCATTCTGCTAGTCACCGATTACTGTGCTAAGGGCAGTTTGTACGATATCATTGAGAATGAAGACATTAAATTGGATGATTTGTTTATAGCTTCACTTATACATGATTTGATTAAGGTTTGTCTTTGATCTCATATACTTGAATGAATCAAAACAAGCCTTTAATACTTTTCCAGGGTATGATTTATATACACGATTCTTCGTTGGTATATCACGGCAATTTAAAGTCATCAAATTGTGTTGTCACTTCACGTTGGATGTTACAAGTGGCTGATTTCGGATTACACGATTTACGATACTGTGCTGAGAGTGAATCTATCGGTGAACATCAGCATTATAGAAGTAACTTATAATAATAACTTTTATTTTGAAACATTTGTTCGTCCTCTTTCAGTCATTATGTTTCTTTATTTCTTTTTTTTCTGTTTTTAGACCAATTCTGGAAAGCGCCTGAATTATTAAGGAATTCTCATATTTATGGCTCGCAGAAGGGTGATGTATATGCCTTCGCGATTATAATGTACGAGATATTTAGTCGAAAAGGACCATTTGGTCAAACAATGTTTGAGCCAAAGCAGATCGTAGATTTGGTAAAAAAGAAACCAATTAAGGGCGACGCCCCTTTTCGACCAGAATTAGAGTGCATAATTGAAGGCGAATTATGTCCAGATTACGTCTTGAGTTGTATTACAGATTGTTGGCATGAAGATCCTGAAGTCAGACCTGACTTTCCCACAATCAGGTATTAAAAATCGTATAAAGTATTTTTGGAGTTTTTTACTACCTTTCTTTCATATTTACAGGAATCGCCTAAAAAAGATGCGTGGCGGTAAAACGAAAAACATCATGGACCAAATGATGGAAATGATGGAGAAGTATGCTAACAATTTAGAAGACATTGTTAACGAAAGAACTCGTTTGTTATGCGAAGAGAAACGGAAAACAGAGGATTTATTACATCGCATGTTACCGCAATCGGTAGCTGAGAAATTAACCATGGGTTTGGGCGTTGAACCCGTCTCGTACGACTTAGTAAGTTGAACAAATTTTTATTGAAACTTTTTTTTACGGAATTATCTGGATTTTGTTTTGCTGAAAGGTTACCATTTACTTCAGCGATATCGTGGGTTTTACAGCCATGTCTGCCGAAAGCACACCTTTGCAGGTGGTTAATTTTCTTAATGACCTGTACACAGTTTTTGATCGCATCATCCGTGGTTACGATGTGTACAAAGTAGAAACAATTGGTGACGCCTATATGGTAGTGTCTGGATTGCCAATTAAAAATGGTAATCGCCATGCGGGTGAAATTGCCTCCATGGCTTTAGAATTACTACAAGCAGTGAAGCAGCATCGTATAGCTCATCGACCCAATGAAACACTTAGATTGAGGATTGGTATACACACCGGCCCTGTTGTAGCTGGTGTAGTTGGTTTGACAATGCCGCGTTACTGTTTATTTGGCGACACCGTAAACACTGCCTCTCGAATGGAGTCAACAGGCGAAGCGTTAAAAATTCATATATCTAGTAAATGTAAAGATGCCTTAGACAAATTAGAAGGTTATATTACAGAGAAACGAGGTGTTGTGCATATGAAAGGAAAAGGTGAAGTGATAACTTATTGGTTAATAGGAGCTACGGAAAAAGCTATACAAAAGAAACCTGTTGATATGACTGATTTACCTCCACCTCTTTTTTGCCGCCCACGAAGGAGTCCGAAATTGAATTCTGATTCCCGTCAACCAAGTATTATTGGCATGCCATATGGAGCGAACGGTTCGAGACGTCAATCTAGTGTTCCAAAGGCTGACCTTGAGTCTAATTACAGTTTGCAAGGTTCTACATATCAAATGCAACGTGATTCGCCCCGATTACCACCGAAATGTTACGAACGGCTTGCAACAAACGGGTTTGGGAGCTTTCAAGGTAACAGCATACCGGAGCGTATAAGTTATTATGGTAGTGTTGGTATAGGCGTTGCTGGTAAAGTGCTAGATGTCGCACAGTTATCGCATAATACTTTGGAGCATTCCGAAATGAACTGTGATAGCAATAGTGTTGGGATAAATTACAGCGTAGGTGTCATCGCAATCTCTAATGATTTCTCCCAGAAACCTTTGGCTATGGTACGACCTCATCGTCGAATAAACTCGACGGCTCTAACTGATGAAATATATGGTAGTGGTGTTATATGTGATAATACAGTATTCGCGGCGCATAATTTGCGGGAAGCACTTTCTTTAGACCCTATACCATTTCATTTACGTAGGCGGCACGAATCCGTAAAACTGCCGCCATCCAAACTTAAAAAGAACAATTCGCGATCTTTAGATACTGGTGTGGCGCTGATAAGTGCCAACCCAAATGGTGAAATTGATAACGCATCAGGATTACCGATTAGACAACATAGAGAGGCTAAGGCTGGCGTTGCAAGTGATATAGCCACGACAGAGCAACTAGGCAATGAGGATATTGGTTTACTAATAGCCTGCGATAACGGCGATATAAATTTGCAAAATTCGGCTACTATCGTGCCAGTAGGACCGTCTTTACTCAACCGAAGGCGTAGTGGAGGAGGTTTTCTTGGGAGCCCGACACCCCTTCTTACTACACTACCATATAAACACCTAAATAATAATTGTAATGGTGATTTAACCATTGAGGAAGACGTACAATCACCTCTCTTGCAGCGTCAACCTTATCCTTCCAGTGTCAGTGCTAGTATGGATAGATTGAAACGATGGCATTCCTTGGAAAATATAGAGCATCATACCGGTAACAGTGTTAGCTATGCGGACGACATCGATGGCACTCAAGCGAGCAGCTCTGTTATACCGAAGATAACAAAAAAATCTGCACGAAATGTATCTGATGAGGGCAACTCGTCATCCCTGTTCAATCGTTTAGTGAGTATATTCCACGGTAATGGCAAGAGAACCAGCGAAGCATCGTTACGAAGAGTAGGTATTTTGCCTAGTGCAGTAAGAAGAGTACCTGGTTTCAGCGACATGGGCGGGACTAACCGCGATCGAGAGAGTATTGTATAAACAGTAAAGAGGGGCAAACGAGAACGAGGATAAGCATCCTAAATATTTTATATAACTTTTGTTTTTAGTTTAGGAAGCATTTTAGAATTGCGTCTAGTCACAGTCTCCAGACTAGTTGTTTACTTGTACTATATATGTTATTTACATTTTGTGTAATCACTTCGTTTAAATATTAGTTAAAAAATAACACAATTAACCAAAACAAATGTTGTACGCATACAAACATATATTACGATATACGATAGATTGATTTCATTGTATATTCGCAAACCACATATATGGGTGTGTGTAGACAAAAGGAAAACATTTCAATGAATGTGAAATCATGAGACTTCTCCACCAAACAAAAAAACCTTATTATAACACAAGAATATTTTACCATACAAGCAGAAAATAATTTTAGAATCATAGGTACTTCATACATGTACATAGACATATAGACCACATAGATCATATTTAAAGTTTAGTCAATGATGAAAGCGCATTATCTCTATTTAAAATTTTTTATTTGAATTCGATTTTAAGAATGAAATATTCATTTCAAAGCTATTTTGCATTCAATTAAAAAAAAGAAAAAAAAATTGTATATAAATAAACTCAATCAAAATATCGTTAGGAAAGATTATTGGAAAGGCGAATTAACGACAAAGCTTTTTTCTTTGCTTTTATGGCCCAATATATTATAGGTAATGTAATACCCATAACTTTTATCTTCATTTGAAAACTTCTGGATAAGCACTTACTTGTTTATTAAACCGATAGCATCAATAATTTTTCGAATGCCTCAAGAAATGCTTGTCTAGCCAGATGGCTGCATAAGTATTTCTTGATTAGATTTGCAATACGGTAATAAACATACAGTTGATCTGTTAATATAAAAAAATTATAATACATAAATTTGAATTTACTACCACACGCAGCTGTGTAGAAAGTAAAATATCCTGCCGATTAGTTTTTATGATATGAGGTTAAAACATTTGACTTGCGAGATATTTATATTTCTACACCCGTGTAAGTAAATTTTGTTTATACCTATTGGAAGGATATTATTCTTTAGAATTAAATACTTTTCAATATATCGATTTAAAATTTGTCGATAAGCTCTTTACCAACTCACTAAGGTGACCGCAAGAAACATATATCTACTTTAGGTGATAGGTTAATAGGGGTTTTCCTCAAGACGAATGTAGGTTTCTTACTTGTTTTGATGTATGTATGTATCCAATACGCTTCTAGAAGTATATGTGTGGGTTAAATAGAGCTAAATTGAGTTAAGATTTTTTTTGTTTTTAAATTAATTGTACTAAGCGTTAAAATATTTGGTACGTCATACAACATCGCGAAAAAGAACTTACCATTAAATATAATTTTAGTGAATGAATGTAGTTTAGGAGCACTTAGATAAATTTTTAGTTATAACTGACTGTATGTTATGTATACGTGCTTATAATTGTGGAGTTTCTTAAACATTATAATTTCAAAATTTTTCTTATTTTCTTGTTAGTGCTTGCTATAAAAAATTGCTAAACCACATGCATGCAGTCGTTCGCTTTTCTTTAACTTCCTTATATATATATATATATATATATATATATATATCATTATTAATTGTCAATTCATATATGCATGAGAGTGTGTGAGTACGTGTGTATGTTACATCTGTTACATTTTACATTTATCCACATTTTAGTTCTATTTATTTAAGATATATTTTTGCTTTTTTTTTTGTTTACAATTGTTTTCTAGTTTTAATTACCACACGAAATCGTTGTTAGTTTTTGAAGTCTGCATGCTTACACACACTTACACACGGCTATACATTCTTGAGGAGCTTCAAAAAAAATATTTATAACACAAGTCAACTTTTTATTGTAACTTATTTATTTTATTAGAGAATTTATGAAAATAAAAGGAAAGAAAAAAATAAAAATACGAAAGTGCTACTGTGCATAATCGATGACCTTTATATGCCTGTAGATGTATAAATGATTAAGTGTGTGTTCGTCCCCTTATGTTTGTGTGTGTGTGCCTACATGTATGTGTGTATGTGTAAGCATAGTTGTAAAGAAAAATTAAAAGTGCAAGAAGAATACAATATAATGTCAACAGACAGTTTCTTTTTGTAATTATTCTCTGTTAAATTGCCATATATTTATGTGTATAATAAATCACATGTAAAATAAAAAAAATAAAAAAAATTTGAAGAAAAAATAAAACTCTTATCTTTTAATTATGATGATTTAGGTCATTCATTGATAAAAAGCTTTTTGACATTCTGCCAATAACTAAAAACAAGAATGAAAGAATTGCTTGAGCCAAAATGTTAATATATTCAAATTAGTAAATATATATAATTGATTTTTAATCATGGATTGAGAAGCTCTAAAATTGATTTAACTTTTATGTATTCTGTCAATAAGTTATCCCAAATCTCAACAGTTTTCAACAGCTTTTTTAAGTTATGCAGTTCGATTTTTGCTAATGATAAAAGTAAAATATAAAATTTACGTCCAACAGTGTATTTCGACGGCTATATACATACATCGTTGCTTATAATCCTTGCGATGACAAAAATTGAGATGCGAGCCATAACAGGCAAGAAATTGTATCTTCAACCAGTACCAGACAATAGTCTAAAACTTGGATCAAAAATATTTACCATGTAACTGTATAACTAAATGCTCAATACAATAACAATTCGCTTGAAAACACGATTGCAGTGAATTAAAAACTGTAAAGTACAATCTATAATAAATATTTATCTAAATTAAAACAAGTAGAAATGCTTTAGTAGGGCTCGGCACATCATTAAATACCCCCACAACCTTACAGTTATCCACGTATCGACTTTTCAAAATAAGATGTTATATCGGAATTGCTCGAAAAAGTGGTCAGATCCGAACCGTTTTCAATAGCGTTTATTTTTGGGCCAAAACACATGTATTAAATTTCATTAAAAATTTGCGGCCTGTAGGTTGACCAGATAACGCGTAATTTTTATTAGTTCTCGATAGTTTATAATACTATCTTAATGCAACGATAGAAGAGAAAATCTTAAGCTTGACATAATGTAAAGGGTTTACATAGAAATATATCCTTGCTTTCGGTAAATTGATAGATTTTGTTATTGAAATATTATAATCGAAGTCTAGTATGAACAACATCTTGACTAGAATACTACCCGTTCCAATCTATGACTCATCCCTTATCTAAATAAGGCTTTCATTTGTGGAACGAATCGCATAAAATTCTTCCTATTGTGGAGAGTTTCAAAAGACACACCGGCACGGAATTCGTAGTTTTTTAGAATGATAGGTAATACTTTATATAATATATCTGTTACCATTCTTTTGCAATAAGTACATTTGCGTACTTTCTTTATTCGTGTGAGTTTTTTTAACATCACCGCATGTTTTCATTAAATTCTTTAGTAAGTGTGAAGCTACTATTGAAATTTTGGATTAATACCAGGTCATATAGTTCATTTTTGATGGAGGTAAATCTATGGGTTTCTTTTCGGAGGAGTTGAAATTTTATGCAGATATTTTTTTTCTACTTTAAGCACAAAAAATACCGCATTCCTATGCTTTCTTAATATTCTCAGAGAAGTAATGAATTTATTAGACGATTCTATGGGTTTTTTTTAACAACATTCATTTACACAAATATCGTGGTTTACACTAAGTGATAGAACAAGCGGTTTGGGGTATATCAAGCTTGACCCTAGGCAAATTTTTTTGTTTTGTTAGTCATGGTCATGGCTTACTTCTCGAAGTTGGCAAATTAAGTTTCAGACGAAAGTTGCGAGCTAATTATAATTTATGTAGTTGCCAGTTTGTACTAAAAACAGAAATTAGATAATTCCGCAATTTTCGAGTGTTTGAGGGTGGGCTTGATATGACTTTGATTGTTTTAAATCTAACAGAAAGCAGTCTCATTCCGTTGAGTCCCAAAATTACACAGCTAATTAATTTTTAACCATTTTCTTGTTTATGATTAATTTCAATCGAGCAGAAAGTTAATTGTATTGACCTGAAGAGATTCCTTCATTGCAAGTTCCATTAAAATAATGTACAAGCCGATACTTTCAACGTACAGAAGAAGTTATAATTTCTTAAAAAAATTATGTATAATCAATATTTGCAATAGACTTAGACTTTTGAAGGAAATAAGCAAGGAGTAAAGAAATAATAACAAAATTTGTAAGAGTGATTTAAAGTAAAATGATTGAATGAAAAAATAGACGGCTAGTCATGCAGATGTGTATTTATGTACATAAGATTTTTATTATGACTGAGGTATATAAACATTGTCATAGGTATGTAAATGTATATATTTTAATTAAAAATTCCTATTGTCTAAGCAAGCATATTTCAGTGAAACACAATTTCGACTAAACAACAATAAACGCAATGGCAATGTCCATCTGAGTTTAGTCATTATTAGCAGATCCTTTGATTAAAACAATGTGAGATGAATGTGCAAGATTATTTTAGATATTTCATTTCATGATACTATCCAAACTGGTGTACCCTGTTGGACCAGTGGGAGAGTTGCCGTTATTGAATCGATCACAGCAGCCACAGCAGCACACTTTATATACTGCATCCATAATGGTGCTTCGCTCGAAATCGTCCATGTTATTCATAAAAATACCCGAAACCAGATCTTCTTCAGTGCGAGTGCCAACGAATTCGCGTAGATCCGATATGGGGAAGCCGTCGCGGTAATAGCATTTGATCGTATCGTAGGCATCCATAATAACCGAAATAAATAATGATAAAACTACGTAAATGTAAAGTGATATAAACGAATACAGGTACAATTGACAAAATAGCCAAAGCCAGTTAGCTTTGGATGACAGAGTTGAAAAAGTAGCAAACATATCGTCGCCGTTAATCAGTGAGAACAAGCATTCGGATGTGGTAGCCAGCGAACGGAACTTCATGTGGTAAGGTCCCAGTATAAGCCAGCCACAGAAAGCAAAGCCGGCATATATTAATAGCGCAGCTACTAAGAATCTAAAAATTTTGGGTGCTGCCTTTTTTAGAGTCAAAATCACCACATTATATGTTTTGAAAAAACCCAAATAGCGTAAGACTCCAAACCATACTAGGAGATTGCCAACGCCCAAGAATAGGGAGCACGTATCCCATTGATCGACAACCAGAAACTTGCGTTCAATTTGTTCTTTTAAAGCGGAACCCAAAATTAGCAACACATCATTAAACAATATCATAATATACCTGAAAAGATGCTCAAAATGTTTAAATAAAAACAGTTGCATATGTTTTGATACTTACCAGAAATTGACAAACTCTAGACGACCTTCGAAACTTAACTCTTTGTTGAAATGTACTCGAAAAAATTGTATAGTTTGACAGCGCAGCAAATAGGCTCGATATAAAGCGCGTGCGCACAACGCGAACGATAGTAGACATACCAATAAAACGAAGATATTCAATATACTGCGTAATATGGCATCGAATTCAGCATCTGAGATAAAATCAACGTCACCGTTGCAATGCAATCGCATTGCGTCGGCATCCAGAGATAGTAACATTTGACCGTCATGATCCCGATTATCAAAACATATGGTTATATTAAATTTAAAGCAATCTGGGGCTGACAAGGGTCCACCATAGGCTTTAAAATTTACCGTTTTTATGGCAAATTCCAAGCTTGCTTTAACCAAAGACGAAAAACTAACTTCTACGTCCCTTTGGGACAAGTATTTTTGAACGCCGATTGTTGTGACGTTGGCTGGCAAAGATTCACATAATCGTTCTATTTCGGGATTAAAGATGTATGATTCATTGAATCCAAATATGATGCCCTCACGATAATTATATAAGCATAGTTTCATGACTGCCATGCTGTTGTCATTTGTCGGATAATCATAGGGTCCTATAGAACGATTTAAAGTCGCATAGCCATTAATCGCATAATCAATGGTATCGAAGAATTTTGCTTTTTCATAGAGAGCAAATGGTCCTACCGACGGTGGGTAAGACTCCACTTCGCGAGATGAGTCCCACCCACGTAAAAACAAATGTGAAAACGCTATGCGATTATCCCAAGTGTAATTGATGTGATTATATCGCGAATGGGCAAACAGGCACAACTGCATAGTTACCAAAACGATTTTAACAATCTGTAAATTACCGGAGGAGATAAAACTTAATGATCGAATTAAACTTAAGAAACACGGCTACTAATGAAAAGCGTGCGACAATTTTAACAATGCACATACATTTGTCCATAAAGAAAATACAATATTTTTATGGCATCACTTATTCTGCAAAGTTCAAGGGATCTAACATTCAATCGTTCATATGTTATATTACTTTTATTTGATGATTTACCAAGTAAATGCTTTTCGAAATATTACAAATTGTACTTCTTTTTTTAAAGCGTTTCAGATATTTACATAAAGAACTTTATAATTCCTGGATTGTTATCAAACGCAAGTTATTGTTCTCAAGCATGTACATTGTGTATATGTGCTTTTCAAGCGTAACTCTCTCATCGAAATGTAAAATATATTTCACAATAAGCTGCTTAATTACGCATATATAAAATTATTAAATATATATATATACGAAATGGAAGGAGATCTCAATTGGGAAATGATATTTGAATATATGATATTGAACGGCATTGGTGGCTTACGAACTTTCTGCAAAAACGATAGAGCCTTTGAACGAATAATTAAATTTTTATTTTTTTTAAATATATTTGATGCATATATTTAGTTCTCTAATTTCGAATAGTCAAGACTGATTATGCATTCCCCTTACGAAAGCGTGCTTTAATTAATTTTCGCCATGGATACTTATGACTTAAGATCGCGTATTTAATACGCCTGAAAGTACGAATAGATTTAAATGTTGCATTAAGCATTGTGGTACCTATTATCGGAAGAGATATACTGTTTTTATCTTTCGTTTTATAATACCTGGAAATAGGTATACATGCTACTACCCAGTATATACATATTTATACTCTTACGCCCCTTTTAAGTTCATTTAGGTATATGCGACTGCCTATACATCGTAGCCGATATTGTGAATTCTCCAGATCATTACTCAACATTGCTATCAAAGCGAATAAATTAATACGACAGCTTCCAGTGCTATGAAGATTGTGTAATACTTAATCAGGGTAATTAACCAGTTAAAACAAGTATAGTCGGGCAAGGCCAATCCTTAAATACCCTACATCACAATGTCTAACACAATTCTTATTTTTACTGTAGAACACAAAAATTATATCCTGCCATAAAGGCATATTTTTCAGGTTCGTATTTATGAGGAAGGTGGCCTCAAACGCAACCTAATATAGTATAGATATAATTCTTACATTGGGCAGAATACTAAAATAGGCGCAGATGGTCCAAACTTTGTAGAGTCCATTTTTGTATGAAATTACTGTAATATTATGGGTCAATTTCCATCATCATTTGTTAAAATGTTGACTTTTTTGCTCTATAAAGGATCCAATTTCGTGAAAATCGACATTGGAATAGGATCCAAAAGATAGGGCGGTATAGTCCAAATTTGGCACAGTTTATTTTTTTTATGTTAAATTACAATTATGACATAATTTTCATCATGAAGCACTGAGCATTATACCTGTTTGTCGTATGAACTATACTCTTCGCTATATGAGACGGGTTTTTTTTTTTACAATGCCGAAATACTACTAGTTAGCCATTTTTGCCGGGAAATTTTTAAATGTTGCAATTTTTTTTCATATAACGACCGATCCGAACCATTTTCAATAGTATTCGGCCTTGGTTGAAAACAGATCACTGTACCAAATTTCATCAAAATGTCTAAAAAATTGCGACCTGTAGCTTAGACACAAATTTACATGGACAGACATCAGACGGGCGACCGCACTAAGTTAATATACCAGATAATATACCTGCATCACAGGTGGTGTAGGGTATAAAAATCCATCCTACTGAATCATAAAACATACATCGATTGCTAATCATGGATTCGAAAATGTAATATAACACATTTTGAGCGTACGAACTGAAACAATCTTTACTCGTATGCTGAATTTGGATATTAATAGATGTTAAGAATCGCTTTTGTGGAGTTTAAAATTGTTAGAACTTTATATACATATACATATCGAGAAGAAGTATGAGAATTGACAACAAAAATCCTGCACCCGTCTTAGAAAGAGGCATAATTATAATTATTTTCAATATACTAATTTTATTGTAATACATCGAAAAACAAATACGTTGGCTCATGCCAATTTATGGTATATGGTCAATTCTGGAAAAGTTTATTACTTTAAATTACGTTAAGTGAGGAATATTTTTTATATGCAATTATGTTTCGTAATATGGTAATAAGAGAAATAGACGTAAAAATAAAACGGAAAATAAATAAACGGAACTAGTCGCTATAAGCAATATTTATAATTTTATATATCTTGCTTATTTCTGTCCACTGCCTTGTCGGAAACAAAAAAAATACACAAAGCACCCACACACAACATCTATATACATATATGTATATATATTTATAAAAAGATACGTTATTTAATTAAATAAGATGCATGTGCATATACAGAATGACCATAAGTTCATTGGATGCTGTATAAATTATGTTTAGTATGGTGGTTTCTGTAGCCTATAGTTAGCTAATATGTACACTTACCTGTACCACAAATTTATATGGAAATTTTCGACGAGCTTGCCATTTTTCAATTGGGTTCATAAAGAAAAATTGCAGTTTACGTCTCATACGTTCCTCCTGATATAAAGATTTGGGAGGTGTTCCTTCAGTTAAAGTAGAAGGTGCTGGCATATCTATAAAACCTTCGGAATTACTCCGACCACTTCCGTTTTGCATTGTTTGCTCACTTTCATCTTGTTTAGCGAGAGGGCTGGCGTATTCTTCTTCGCTTTCGCAGCATGAATTCTCTTTGCTAATATCGCCGCGAAGATTCCCTGTGCTTACTGTGCCTTCATCTATCATATTATTATGTGCGAAAGTCCTGCTGTTGGTGGCCATGTCTCGGAATTAATTTCTCTTTTGTAAGCACGCAGAACCACCAGAGCCTAATATTTCTTTCACAGTATTTAATGCTTAAAAGGGGTGACTGTTAAAGTTATTTCGATTACGATTTCCGTTGTTTTTAATCAATTATGTATTTAGCTTACTCTTAGACTTGTAAAATGAAAATTTATTCAAAATTGTTTAACCTATTTTGGCACTTTTTTTCCTTTGTTTTCGTTTTTTCATTTTCAACGTAGCGTTGCTAAGCTTTTGTTTTAAGAAATACTTGATGTTAACAAATGCGTATGGCAATATTGTTTTCGTAAAGGCATTCTTCGTATAATGTGGCAATGTCAATTCCAACTGAACATATTTATAATTACACGTATGTGATATATAAAATTTTTGTAGTGTTGGTTATTAGCGTATGAAATTTAAATTTACCAACAGGTATCAGCAAGTCGACTGGAAGGTTGGCATCTTCTGTAATCACGCTTCTGTGAGGTCTGATTGTGAGGATGGTCTGAGGTTGGGGTTCCTTGCGGAGGAGTTCCCCATGTTGACGGAACGTCCGCACTAAGCTTGCCGTCAATATGGGTGCCACGGAGGAGTCCGAGGCATTCAGGTTGCTAAGGAGGGATGAAGCGGGCCAGGGGTGAAAACCAGCAGTCAAGAGTTCCCGCGGTAAGCAGTAGTGGGATAGCGTACCGGAGTGGGGTGCCACTGCCAGCCCAGCCAATATGATTGGACCACAATCTTTTTGCCAAAGTTTTTTTGGAGTTTCCGTATATGTTGTAAAATCATCATCATCATGAGTTCGATTCCTGGCACGGAAATTACTTTTTTTAATTTCTTTTTTTGTTTTTACACTAAAATATTTTTTTTTTATACGTCCTTGAAAATAAATCATATTATAAATCATATTTATTTTCTGAGAGCTCACGTATAAGAAGTTATACTTTTCCTGCAGTTGGTGTCTTTATGTCAGGAATGACTCGAAGAGAATGAAAAGCATGTTTAATGAATTCGTGAATATGGTATCAATCCCATATTAGGATTGGATAACGGAAAGCATATTAAGTTCTTCTAAAAGTCTAATAAAATTTGATTGAGTCTGTTTTGGTTGTTCTATTTTGTAGGTGTTTTTTGTAGAAGAAGGCGTAAATCCCTATTGATTATATATATATATCTTCAAATCCTACGCCGCTAATTGCTCCTAGGCCAATAGCAATAAAATATTATATTCAACACTGTTAATATATATTATTAATCAATATTATTAATCTATACAGCATTAACATTGTTGTATATGTTTATATATAAATAAATATAATATAAATTTATAAATATGTCTAAATATGATACAAATATATTAATAGATTGGTGTGTATATAAATATCGTGTGCAAATGCATAAACCTGATTTCTCATTCATTGTTCTGGTAACTAACAAAGACCTTAAAGAAGGTCATACCTTGGTGAAACATTAACATGTCGATGATTTCGATTTTGTGGTACGCCTGGGCGTATGCGCCAAGGCGTTGGTTATATTTGTATGGTTATATATGGGTGTGCGTACGAGTATGAAACAAAAGAAAACTGTTGCTAATGCCCAATATAAGTTAAAGCAATGGAGTGAATGCAATTCAAAATATTTATTCTTTATTTTTTCACGCATGCTTCGCACATTTGTTATTCACCCGAGAGCGCAATCAGCAACACCATCAGACAAAACTTGTTTTTCACTTATACCATCATGCAAAAGACTAATGCGACATCTTTCTTATGAAATTAAGGAAAACGGTTCTTTTTTTTGTGTATTTATTTTATGTTTATTATATTATATATTTATTGTACATTTTTTTTTCGTTAGCTACTACCTAGGGCTTCTTCAGTGCATGCCTTTAGGTAAATACATACCAAAAGAAAAGAAAACAGTTTACAATAAAATATAGTGTTACAAATTTTCATTTATACTAAATTCCTTTAGTTAGCCGTACAAGCAATTGTTGTTTTTGCATTCTTGAGGTATGATGGTATTCAATGGCATTTTTGGCCGTTTGCGATCGATTTCCTAGACATACTCTTCAGCTGGTATGAGGTGCTGTATTGGGCATCTTTTAAATATTGAAAATATTTGCTGGTTGTTCGTATGTTGTTGTAGGTAGATATGAGCGCGAATTTGTGTGGTTGTACGTGATTGTATTTGTAGCACATTGCGCCCATATGCGAGTGTTTAAGAGTGGAAAGGAGAGCTTTTCCTTTTAGGCTAACAAAGTGGTTAGATCGGCTGGCTGACTGGCTGGATGGTTGGCTGGATGCTAAGATAAGCGAGCATTTATGCAAAGGCCAGTGAACTGTAAGACGTATGTGTGCACGTACATATTCCGCATAAAGGCACATATACATACGAAATATTTTTGTAATAAAAAAAAAAAAAAAAATTAGAAGAAAGAAAATAATAAAAGAGTGGGTTCCTTTTGCTTTGCGAGATATAGGTGCTTGCAGCGTAAACGTTTTGGTATTTATGAGTTTTTATGATCGACACATGTACAAATAAGAACATAGAGCGAGAAATAAGATGAAGGGTATAGATTGTGTCGGGAAAAAGAATAAACCAAACAAATAAGAAAGCTATACTTGCCTGCAGGTAAGCTTTGTATGCGCGTCATCGATGGTTCAAAATATTTTCAATTGCATATTTAGTAGTGTAAAACAGATCCCTAGCTCAATGTAGGTCTTTCAATTTTTTACATATTGTACTTAAGGAAATGCAGGGTGCTGGTCTGGAAAAATTTAGTGTTATACATGATCGATGAAAGTGTGATTCAAAATGACTAATTGTTATCGGGGATGGTCAATATTACTATCAAGTTGCATTTTTAAAAACTCATAATTCACCACACCATCCTAATTGCTATATAGCATGTTCTTTGCAGGTAACTATGATGATTGGTCTCAGTCAACCCAAAATTCTTGTTTTAAATTCTTTAAATATGGTTACATTTTTCATAGTTAGTCAAATTTGTTGTAAAAAAGACTTTTTTAAGGTCTGATGGGTGCTACCTTCTGCTGGCGATTTTTCCATTTCGCTCCTTTCAAATTCTTTGCCATTGCTTAGCTCTTTTTCGAACAACATTCAGTTTTTCCGAGTCAATTTCTGCTTTCGAAAGCATTAGAAGCATTTACAGGAGTTGTCCTGTGAAAATCCTGTCCGCAAGCTTTGGAATAGTTTGTGTAAGAATATATGCAAGGAACGAATATATACGCGAATAATATGTAAGTCGGCATCTAAATTAAGTATCTCAAGGGCAGCAGAAACGATGGAGTTATATATCTTATTGATTTCGGCTACCAATATTTCTATATCCATACATGTGACTCAACTCTGAAATGATTTTTCTTAAGACCTCTAAATGATTCATCTTTGGCTGTTATAAATGTTTTTTCATATGTCATTATTATAAACGATGTTTTCGATGTATGCTTTTACTGAGGTTGAAAAATCAGTCCAAATCAGATGTGGTTATTGCGATGGATCTCGCTTATAATTTATACGTTATAAAAATGTTTTTCTGGTAGGTAGATTATTTGTACGACCACGTTTAGATAGTCTAACTTATTACATACAATGGCGCATTATGTCACAACAATTTCCATCATATCAATCGGTGAACAATTTTCAAAATTTTTATAATTTCATAGTGGATAGATCTCCGCATGAGCAGTCGAGTAGGCAAAAGTGCGGTAGAATTGCAATACAAGCGAGCGAATGGTCGAGGTAGTCTTTAAATGCAGACAATAAATTAATAAAAAATAGTAAAAAAATGAGCTGAATTCATTCAGCTTTTGAAATAGGTCATTTGGTAGACCGTTATGGAATATGTTAACTAGGATATATTTCGGTTGGTGGAAATCATAGTTGTCAGGCAACGACCGCTGATTTGGAAACTTCATATCCTACTTTATGACGTATAACAACGCAAAACTTTGCGTTGCTACTCGAAGCTTTATCGAAAACATATTCTATATGCCTTTTGAAAAATGTTCGAAAGTGTTGGCGAGTTGATTTAATGGTGGGCTTTATTGCGTCAAGTAACTTCTAGTTTTGTCGGCATCCGACAAATAGATAAAGTCGAAGTTTGTACTTGCAAGTTAGTCTTAGTAAACAACTAAAAAGACAACTTCCAAGTTCTAAGGTAGATACGCAATTTTCCAGGAACATGGCACATCTATCGATATTATTTGGAGGAGATATTGGAGTCCTTTTATTTTCAATGAAAGCACTGGAGAAGTTGCTGTCAGAGGAGTATTCGCACCACACTTTTCCAAAGTAATTGGAAATCTCATCTGCGTCAGTTAAAGTTGCATTGGGAGTGCAGATGGCAGAAATTTCGTTCAGGTTTGAAGTCCCATTAAGTCTGTTGAATTTGTTCCAGACAACTTTCATTGATGTATTTCTGTGAATTCGTCTCGAGAAAAGTTCGAAACTAAGTGCCTTTGATTTCCGTAATTCCTTCCTGAATAGAGCATTGGCCTTTTTGTATAATAACAAGTGATTTTGATCAGGACATCTCTTAAAGCGGTGCCATAGATCCATTTTATTTTTCCTCAAAAACGAAAGCGTGTTGTTCCACCAAGGAACCCTAGCTCGTTTAAAAGAGGTGTTGGATTGAGGAATAGAAAGATGAGCAGCCGTGCGAATCGCTTTAGACATAATAGCAGCATCATGGTTGCAGTTTCCGTTAAATGGCTTTGAATTCAAAAATGACTCCACTTGTTTGAAGTAATTGATCCAATCCGCTTTATCTAGGAGGAATTTGGCCTGTTTTGCTGGAGTAGCAGAGGACGTTGAAAATTTAAGATCGATTATGATTGGAAAGTGATCACTATTATGTAGATCATCAGAAATAGACCAGGACACCAAAGGAAGAAGTGATGGAGAGCAACATGTTAAATCAATATGTGAAAATGTATGATGAGTTGAGAAGTGCGTTGGTTTTCCATCATTTAAAACGCAAAGGTTGCTTTGAAAAAAGGCCTTTTCTAAAACAGTACCGCGAGTGTTGTTCACTGTTGAGCCCCAGATGGTATTCCAGCTGTTGAAATCGCCGCATATAATTAATGGGGGGGAAAGTACGGAGAATAAACTGTAGAGTTCTTGCTGAGAAAACGATTGCGAAGGTGGAATATAGAGCGAAAGCACTGTAAATTTTATATTTAACATTATTTGTATCGCTAC